ATAGAGAGTTAGAAACATCGATGAGAGAGAAACATCGATCAGCTGCCTCCTGCACACCCCCCACTGGGGATGTGCCCGCAACCAAGGTACATGCCCCTGACCGGAATCGAACCCGGGACCCCTCAGTCCGCAGGCTGACGCTCTATCCACTGAGCCAAACCAGTGCTGGCACTCCTGTTTTTTCTTATGTTGTCTTCAAAAGTCTTCCTTTTCCTTAGTTTGTAATCATTTAACTCTTCTTCATCTGTGATCCTCTGTTGAGGTGGAGGTGGAAGAAGCTCAAGTTCTCTTTCTTTAGCTTCTCTTAAAAGCTGTTCCGTAGTGATCTGTACCTCAGCTGGGGCTTTGTTTTTCACCTTGGCCACTTTGGGAACTCTCTGCTTCCCGGCCGAGGTGGAGGCTGCCATGGCTGCAGCAGAATTTGTTTGGTGAACTCGGGCGCCAGATGTTGGGGTCCAACCCCAGCAGGTCCAGGGGTTCCCAAAGGTGTGGATGCAGTCGGCGAAGAAGAAATGACACAGAGGCAGATGATCAGCAAAGCCAGGTTCTCTCACTAGGTTCTCCAGTCAGGTTCGGTCTTTATTGTCTTGTTACATCTGTATTTATACCAGTTGATTTTAATTCTATCAATTCTATTCCAAAGGTTAGGGCGTTTCTTATCTCCATTCCAAGGTTACTCTATTGTTCTATTAAGCTACATGGGAGTAACTGAAGGAGATTATCCTAAGTAAAGATTGTGTAGCTTAAGCGTGATTGTTCGTAAAGTGATTAATTACCCGCCTGGCACTTAGTTAAGGGGTTTTATTCCCTCCCTAACTCCAGGGAAAAATCCTCACCTGGGGAAACAACCTTTCTCAAAGAGGTGGTTCTGTTTAAAACACATAGCGTTGAGACGGGGAGCAAACATATGCCATATACGCCAGGTCCCTTGAAACATAAGCTGTGCAGATGTTTCTTCCCTACAGCAACTGTGTCAAGCAGCAAGGGTGGATCGGCTTCCGGCACTACTTGAGAGGGAGTGTTTAGAAAAGCCTCTTTGTGAATATGATACTTAAACTGAGAGGATAAGGAGCTGGGCTTGAGGGTGGTGGTGGGGTAGAGGGCCAAAGGGAGGAGGGATCAGGGCATTCTAGGCAGAGGGAACAGTGAAGTGCAAAGGCTTTAAGGCAGGGATGAACTTGGCAGGTGTGAAGAGCAGAGAGAAGCTCAGTGAGCTTGAGGCCTAATGAATGGAGGAGGGAGTAGGACAGAAGAGCTTAGCTAGTCAGAACCTCCATTCTGCATCCCTTTACATGAGCCTAAGGAGTTTTGACATTGCTTGTAGTGCAAAGCCATTAAAGCAGAGATAATACACAGAAAGTCAATAGTCTCTCCCTTAACATATTTTATGCCCAGCACAGTGTTTTGCCAACATTTCATTTCAAAACAGGGTGATTTCATATAAAAGTCTAGATTTGCAGCTTGTCATGAAAAAAGCTGAAGATCTCTCCATACTAGACTCCAACTGTTTGGTGAGGCTGGGTGTAGTCCAATGTTGAGATTTTGCCAGACAAGTGCAAAGAAGGCGGGGGGCGAGGGGATTGGAGTTGAAGCTATTTTCAAGGGAATGCTTACAACGCTAAAGCACAGTGTCGAAGAACTGAAGACTGGAGGGGGCAGATGAACAGGACATGGCTCAGTGGCTTGGTCCTCTTAAGGAGCTCAAAGAATTGTCGCTGTAAGTGGAGGAATGAACTGCTTCAATGTCCTTCCTTCAGGGCAGCGCGGAACCCACACTGCAGCTGCATTCATTCAAATCACAAAGTGATCCGCTTCCCTGGAGCACAAGGGAGAATCCTTCAATCCCCACGCCTGCCCCATAGGGAGCACTCACGCCTGGGAAAAACTCTGCAGAGTGTGGAGGGGTCACCATTGGGATGTCTCATGACGCGTGGGAGCCCCCCTCCATCCCCAGGCGACGGAAGGAGGGAATAGCCGGCCCTTCGGACACTCGCAGGCGGGGGTGTAGGGAACCCCCGCTATCAGCCAGCGCGGCGCCCCCAACAGCTAGGGGATCGCAGATCCGCACCTGCCGCC